GAAGAGATAACTAGCTAAAAACTAGTGTGAGCTGCGTCGGTATGTTTTCTTATTTAGAGTTCGTGATTTGCCTGTAAAATCCTGGGTTGTGTACACGTGATAAAATTCCTAAGTGGGAGAATAGTAAAGTTGAAAACAAGGCTCGCGCGAAGAAAACGATGTTATGCATTTCGATTGGAGTTTTTCACTGCAAGGTTTTATTTATGGGGGACATTATCTTCATCTCGAATAAATCTCTCCTTTCATTTTGATTTAAATCGGGCTCCGTGAACCCATTGGAAGATCCGTGTTTAGACAGTACCTAAATGTAGATATTTTATCAAACACAAAATTATCGTCCCTCTTAAAACTGGACCAGTTCCGTAGATACCAAGAAGTTAAATAAGAAAGTGCCCGCCCAACGGTGCAGCGCGCCTTGAATATTTGAGTCCGCTTATCCTAATTACATTGAAAGACAATGGTTTTTCTGAAGAAAAATAATCACGTTTTCTTTTTAGACGACTTAATGGGAATTTCGTTAAAGAAGTTTTGAAAAACATGTTTGTTGGTTTGGAGAAACTTGAAGCAATGTAAGTATAAAACAATAATGTGGGTCTTAATAATGGACGAGGGACCTTCTAACTATAAAATACTATTCTTTAAATTCAGGGATCTTGGAGAAAATTTAATTTCCAATATCAATTCGGATGCTTTTTCTGGTTTTCCAGGTCTTCGCGCACTGTAAGTCTTATATCAAAGTTATACAATAAGCTAACCGTTTGCGTTGTTAAGGCTGATCTTTAATGTTGTCGCATTTTATGCTTTGTTAGGAGCCTTCGTAGTAACCGAATAGAGGGACTCCAAGAACAGTCCTTTCAAAATAACACTAATATGACATATCTGTAAGTGCCGTAGAGTTTTTTAATCTAAATATTGGGGAAAGTGATAAGATAAATTCAAAAATACAAGGAATGAATGGAGGAGGACGAAGGAAGGAAATGAGGAAAAAGGAGGAAAGGGAAAATAATAAGGTTATAATGGTTGATAATTCTTTTTTTCTTTATTAAGAATAACATTATTACTTTAACTTTTGCTTCCAATATATCTTTTCCTAGATACCTTCAAGACAATTCACTGAAGTCGATTCCTGCTGGCATTTTCCGTCACCAAAAGTACCTTGAGATCTTGTAAGTAACCGATATCTTTTCTTCGACAAGTCATTGCTTTAACATAAATCAATGTACTACTCTTCCCAGTAGACCGAGGTAGTTGTGATTTTTTAATCGCCTTCGTAGCGTCTGTTATGTTATCCGCAAGTACATTTCAAATCGACCATGTGATGCCAATGTTGTACCACGAGGACAAGTTTTTTACACCACGTGATCAAAATTCAGTCAAGTTTTAATCACGTGGTGTAAAAAACTTGCCCTCGTGGTACAACATTGGCATCACGTGGTCAATTTGAAATGTACTTGCGGATAACATAACAGACGCTACAAAGGCGATTAAAAAATCACAACTACCTCGGTCTACTGGGAAGAGTAGTATTCAAATATTTGGAATTCGATTAAATTTGCGATATTGATTATTTATCATTTTCGTTATTTATTTTATTTTTTTCAGGCTTCTTCATGAAAACAAAATTCAAAAAATTGACAAAACAATTTTTGAAGGACTTGAAAATCTGAAAAAACTGTAAGCTATTACACTTAGGCTAGTCATCTTTAAATCCTCCATTTTGAATGCCGTTATATGCGATATAACTTCTTCATCATTGACAAATACAGCCATAAAAGTTTTATAAAGGAATGATATGGAGTTTCAAAAGACAACAGTCCCTGAAAAACGGCATGGATAATGTTTGATATCGTCTTTATTGAACCTACTCTTGTGAGGTTGATTCTTGATGTCCTCCTCTTAAGATTAGACATTGATGCTCGTAGTTCATTCGAAAATCTACACGTCATTCCGCTATCTTTCACGAATGCAAAMACCGTTCCAGCCATTTGCCTAGAGACGCCCCCTTTCCCTCCTTATTCTTTCCCTTGATTCATGCATTCCAACGTTTTCTTCAGTTTCTCCGGTTATTCTCTCTCCGCAAAACCTAACACGATAGCATTCAATTCGAGCTGTAAATTGGCCTGACTTTGATAAGCCCACAGGTAGTTTCAGGAAATCGATAAAAATTGAAGGATTTTTTCGAAGTATGTGTGAGTGAATGAACGAAAGACTAATAAATCGAAACAACTGACAAAATCAAGCGAACAATGAAATGTACCAATAAATTAACTTTTTATATTGATAGGACGTTGAAGAACAATTCCATCAACGAAAGGACCATTCCAAAAGATGCATTCAAGAACCTGCAAAAACTCAAATATCTGTAAGTGAGAATAGACCGAACCCGGCTTTGCTTATTTGTTCAACCAAACAATGTGTAGTTTTTCCAGTGGAATACAAAAATTCCGACCAATTCCAACTCGACTCGACTATTCAAAATATATTTTTTAGTAGTTATCAATTTTTTTCTTAATATACCATTAGTGAGAATTTGTTGATTCTAAGACATACATTTACAATGATCAGAAAGCGGTTTGTGTTCCGTGATGTAAAAACGAACACATTTTAGCTTGTCCGACGTCGCAACAGTAACTAGGGATGCAGAACAATAAATGCAGGATTGGTGTTTTTTATAAATGTGTTGTTTACTACCTGACATTAAATTTTACTCAAATTCTATAATTTTGTCAAGACTTTTAATCTTTCTGTTACACGGTACCGTTATAGATCAACAGACAGCTTCATCATGTGCTGCTATGCAACCAAGTCTATTCAAAACCTTAACTGTGTCTCCCCTGGCAACGAGTTCTCCAGCTGTGACGACATGCTCAAAAACGCCGTAGTAAAAGTCTGCATTTGGGCGGAAGGTGTTCTCGCTACCTTTGGCAATCTGGCTGTCATAGCATGGTGGATATTCCTTTCAAGAAAACGACCAAGAACACGACGTGTAAAGATAAACAGTGTCCAGTCCTTGCTATTTTGCCATCTCGCGCTTGCTGATCTTCTCATGGGAGTATATCTTCTGCTCATTGGAACTTACAATGAAATAWGGAAGGGTGAATACTTTCTACATGACGTAGAGTGGAGAGCTGGCATCAAGTGTAAAATAGCAGGCGCCATTTCCACTTTGTCCAGCGAAGTTTCAGTCATGATTTTGGTTGCCATAACGGCCGATAGAATAAACACAATTCTTTTCCAGTTCTCAGGCAGACGCACTAATCTGAAACTTGCTCATTTTCTCTGTCTGTTAATTTGGGTCGCTGGCTTCATCATGTCCTTTACTCCCCTTCTTGTTCCAAGCTACTTCAACGACAAAGTATCTGGCTTCAATTTTTACGGCCGTTCAACTGTCTGTCTGCCGCTACAGTTATCCAAGGATCGCCCTCCCGGTTGGAAGTATTCCGTTGCTGTTTTTATTGGCTTCAATGGCGCTGCGTTCTTCTTCATCCTTGTTRGTTACATCGCCATACTCATAAAAGTTCRAAAATCCGCTCAAAAAGTGCGTTCATCATCAAGCTCTGATTCTGCATTAGGGAAGCGGGTTCTGTTTGTGATTCTGACCGACTTCTTTTGCTGGATGCCTGTCATGATTCTTGGCGTAGTTTCTCTCGTCCATGACTTCAACGAACCTTCTGTGTATATCTGGGTAGCTGTATTCGTACTTCCCGTCAACTCAGCCATCAACCCAGTACTGTACACCTTCTCATCCTCTCAAACGATCAACAGCATGAAGTCAATCAGGAGAAGATTGTTGAAAGATAAAGGTAATGGTGTTATTGGTGTGTTTAGCAGGGGGGAGGGAGTGGAGAGGAAGTGAATGCTCGAACATGATTGCTGAAAGATAAAGGAAAACGATGTCCTCAGTGTATTGAAGGGTAGAGGGAACTTTGAAAAAACCTTTTGAGTGATATTATAAAAGTCAGGGCCAGTTTACTTACGGATCGAATCGGTTTCTACAAATGGAGGAACTAGAAAAAGAACCTACAGAAAAGTGTTTGAAACAATGGAGAGACCCAACAATCTCTGCTCACATGTGATGTGGAGTTCAGGGGTCGAGTCTGAGAGAACTGAGGCGAGTGGACTACACTGGCCTTGATTTCCAAATCACGTGGGGGAGCTAGTGTGGAAAAGATGAGGTAGCCAAAAAGCTGATGAAATAGAAAATTATTTCTTTTTTACAGTTAAATCACCTTAAGCGTGACCATTAATGACTTTACTCTTGCATTCTTGAATTAATTATTGGATTCCAAACTTTCATTATTGTAAACGAATCTTCAAAGCCTAGTATATACAAGAGTCAAGTATATATGCAGCTGGAATACAAGAGTTTTTTTTTTGTGCAAGGAATATATAATATTAACGACTTACCTTCGGTTTCTGCTATAAAACAGAGCTTGGGAGCCAAGTTAATCGCATTTTCAAATTATTGTTATTTTTTTAACATTGCAGGAGGACGTTTACCACCTCAACAAATAGGCCCCGTAGCTTTGCCTTTGAAGGASCTTAGGATTTGCCGAGAAAAAGAAAACCCAGAACAACTAGCTGTCGAGCAAGAACTGCATTAACTCTTCCAAACACAAACTCCAAACCTCTGAGGTGAGTACAAAACAAATATCTTGACGATGCAAAACATTAGTAATGTGATAAGGCTTTGCATAGTTGTTATAAGTATTGTTATTGGTTTTAATTGGTTTCGTTTCCCTCATCCCAGAATCCAATAGACGTATATGAACACAGGAATCAAAGATATGGTATCCAAAAACATCTTCCAGAAACCGGAGTAATTGCACCATCGTTTTAGGTTCCAATACTTAAGGGTTTTTTCCTCTGAAAACCATGCTATCCTGACATGTTACTATTCGCATATTAGCTCTTGTTTCACGCTTTTTATTGCTCAGAGTTTTTTTATTCAATCGCATTGTTAAAAAGTGGTATGATTCTTTTGCTGCAGAATAAACGATTGAAAACGAAATATTGATAACCGAGCATCAATAAGTGGTGGAGGCTGAAGATGATGAAAGTAAAAAGACTGTAACAAGATTGGTGATCTTAAAGAAGACACCTCCTTATAGATTAAACCATTTCTGGTAGTTTAATAAACACGGGGAAAACGCACTGCGTCTTTCAGCGTTGCAAATAAATGAAATCAGTAACAGATTATTTAAGGTTACTGGAGACCTTCGGAGCTATGTTTCTCTTAAGCTCTCCCTACGCAACAAGGTCAACAAAACCCCCTTATACTATATATCGTTTTAAAGGTCATATGATGAAGATTTCGAAAATAATAATTATTCAAAATTAWTTTCTAATTTGAAACAATACCGAGCCTTAAACACAAATCGGGCACATTGCGTAGAGGTGAATTAATGGAAATAGCGTTAGCGAGTATAGCCAAAAGAACCAAACTATGTGAATAAGCAAAAGATAATCTACAAAAGGGTGTGAGCGAATTTTGATATTTTGAGTATTTCGTTTTTTTTATGCGGTAAAATATTAACCGGCCTTGACATTTTTCGACGTTCCAACTTTAAAATTCAATAACTTTTTAATGAAGTAAAATATCAAAAATCGCTCACACCCTTTTGTACTTTATCTTTTGCTTATTCACATAGTGAAATTCTTTTGGCTATATGCGCTATATTTATGTCAATTAATTGACCTCAACTGAACTTTCCCGATATGTGTTTATGGATTGTTTCATATTAAAAAATCGCTTTCAAATAATATTAT